ACACACACACACACCCAGTGTTCAAGCCCGTGAGCCCTTCCTGTGTGCACGCACATACCCAGACTCCAGACCTGTGAGCCCCTCCTCTGTACACACAGTCACACAACTCCCCCACCACACAGTGTCCCGGTCCATGAGCCCCTCCTGTGTGTGTACTCACACACACACACAGTGTCCTGGTCCATGAGCCCCTCCCATGTGTACACACACACAGAGCCCTTTCTCTGTGCACGCACATGCCAAGACTCCAGGCCTGTGAGCCCCTCCCACGTGTACACAGTCACACACACGCACACACTCCAGGCCCGTGAGCCCCTCCTGTGTGTACACTCACTCACTCACCAGGCCCGTGAGCCCCCAGGATGCAGCTTTTCATCTCGTGCTGACAGCCCCTCTTCTGGCTTTTAGCGCCAAGCGCTTCCTGCTCCCCGCACATTAACCTTGGCGGGGCTGCCAATTACCCTGCACTAATGCCGGGGGCGCGGGCTGACAGGCGGCCGGGCGGCGAGGGGCTGGGCGCGTGTTCCCGGCACCGGATGGCGTGCGAGAGTCTCTCCTGACCTCATTAGAGTAATTAATGTGCCTTTTGAAGCTGGAGAGAGGCTCTGAGCTGTGGGAAGGGGCACAGAGCAGAGGGTGGGGGGCCGGAACGGTGTCTTCCTGCCTGTCCCTGTGGGCCAGAGACAGACAAGAGACAAAGCGTGAGGACAGAGTGACAGAGGCACAGCTGGGGAGAGTGAGGAGCGATGGAAGACAGTGACAGAGATGTGGAGAGACTGCAGACAGACGCAGAGCCAAGCCTGAGGACAGAGCAAGACAGAGAGACAGACGCAGGTCCAGCCAGGGACAAACGGGGTGGCAAACAGAATGGGAAGACGACTGGGGGACCCTACTCCCTGGCCTCACAGGAAGGCAGCAAGGAGAGGCCAGCCGGAGCCACCTGCTTCCCGACTTTAAGCTGCTGTCTCAGAGACCGACAAGACTGGGGCCTTCTGACACAGCCCCACCCAGGAGGCCACTGAGGGCTTGGCTAGCCTTCCCTGGGGCAGGTGCATCACCCCCAAGTGAAATCCCTGCGAAGGAGCAATCAGGGAGAACTTCTTGGAGGAGGTGGCTGGGCAAAAGAGGAAAGTGCAGGGTGGAGTGGGCCAATCAGGTAGACTTTGAGGACACCAGCTCCAAGCACAGACCAGAAGGTTGCCCGGGGCCAGTGATGCGGACAGCCTTCTGCACCTGGCTGTTGCACTTGGCAGGGCTGGACGGGCCTTCCTGGGCAGAGGACAGAAGCAGGGCCCCTTCACTCTCACGTCAACACCTCCCAGCACCCCTGACCATGACCCTGGCCCTGGCCAGCACTGACCATGCTGAACCCCGCAGATGGTACGAGGCTGCCCCCTGGTGGTGGTCAGCCTCATGACAGGCCCATTCTTGGGGGGCCTACAGCTACCAGCCACCGTCACCGCCCCCACTGCCTCTGCACGGGGAAGAGGGACAGGTCAGGGCTGGCTCTTGTCCAGAGCAGGCTGTGGAGGTCCCCCAAAGACCCCACGGCATGGTGGGATAGGTGTACATATAAACAAAGGACCCCAGGATGCACAGCAAGGGCAGTAACAGGGCCATGGGGACCCCAGGCTGTGGGGCGAGGGGTGTCGTGGAGCCATGGGGACCCCAGGCTGTGGGGCGAGGGGTGTCGTGGAGCCATGGGGACCC